AATGAAATTTCTATTTTCAACCGACTTCAAAAACAAAGAGGTTCTCTGTTCGGTTGTTTTTTTTTCTTATGTTTATCACCTCATAACTTCGGCAGTTGTAAACCGATTTGGAAAATTCTTTTTTTATCTCAAAGGATGTGGAAATCTATTTGTTTCGTTAATATCTATGTATGGGGGGGAAAGGGATTGTTAGTAATGGAGACTAAGAATCCCATTGCTTGCAATATACCCAACCAGGTCGACCTCCTTGCGGTTCTCCCTGGAAACTATCATGATTAATTCCAGATGAATTTATCATGATGGGCTAACTGGCCTGTTTTCATTCTCATCTATCATCCTTGACTGGTGCCCCGCCAGCGTATCCCGTTAGCGCAGGCGGGGTTACCATTCCATTTTCATCCAATAAAAAAAAATCTATGTATGTAGGTATGTATACCCAAAGGATATTTGCAAGAAACTTATATTATTATAAATATACATATATTTACCTTTCCTGCACTGGATTACCCAAATTATTTTCTCTCTAACCACACTGGGTTGGCTGGAAGAGATCTCTTTCAGAGATAAGCCCTCCCTTGCTAACAAGTTGTTAAACTAATCGTCGCATGTATTGTTTAAGTGCAATAAAGAATATATAAGAAATTACTTAGCGATAAGGCCGCCTTTTGTAATCACTTCTCATTAGAATTCACTGTATTTATTATTTCTATAAGTGATGCAATAAAATATAAATAATTTAATAACTAATAACTCCGTCAGTTGTAAACCAATTTGGAAAATTCTTTGTTTTTTATCTGAAAGGATATACTTACAGATTGGTCCCATAAAGATTTTATTAAAAACGATTCAGTAGTTTAATTTTTAAACCAAAATAACTGGTTTTTCCACCAATAGAAACTACATACGGCTATATATATCTGTCATGCCTGTCTCCCATTAGGGTAGACAGAAACAATGGGACGCCAAATGCTTCGATTCAAACTGACCTCTTTCGCTTCCGCTATTATCATCAATCTCTTCACACGCGCTCGCCGGTTACGGGCACTTTTAATTTGACCCCTCTTCAGCACGTCGCTTATTTGGTCGACATACTTCTAACTGGAGTGGTCCCTACCGACTTTTCCATTCGTTCGTGCTCGATAAATCTCTTTTGTAATTCTTTTTTCTAACATTCTCTCCAAATGGTCAAACCAATGATAGGATCTTTCAACCGTTTTCAATTCGGTTGTATTTTTTTTATGTTTGTCACCTCATAACTCCGTCAGTTGTAAATCAATTTGTAAAATTCTCTTTTTATCTGAAAGGATGTACTTACAGATTGGTCCTATAATTTTTTTTTATACAACTTAGAATGGCAAACAAGCTGACGGCCCACCTGATGGAAAGTGGTAACCGTCGCCTATAGACATGAGCAGTACCATGAACATAACAGAGTATACTGTTTCGCCCATGATACCCTCCATGCGTTGCCATTCCTGAGGACTCAGATGCTATTCCTTTGTACCCAGTAAATTCACGTCATATCCCACCTTTCAAATCGAAACACAGCCACGCAAACACAACTAAATAATTTAAACAACTTATTAAAATACAGTAGTTTAGTTTCTAGATCAAAATAACAAACCCTTTTCATATAATATATACGTTATACGAAGTACTTCTGTGATAATTTTAATAAAACTTAATTACCTTTTTCGTTAGGTAAGTTGTGTTGAAACGGTACATAAACACATGACTCCAGTCCGATAACTCAATAAATTATTCCGAGAAAGTTCTAGAAATAATAAAGTAACTCTTCGGTGTGCCGTATTACCTTGATGGATGTTAGACTTTCTACGCCAACTAACTACGTCAGCTGATCTATACGTCTGAACTAATATTATTATGAAGTGGTAAGATTAGATTTTTGTTCGAATTAAAAAAAATAAAAATAAAATAATTGTCGACTTTAAAAGTTGTTACACATATAAAGCTTAATTTTCAGCGAGTACTATGGGCAGTGTTTATATTTTAAATAGTTAAGGTTGTGTTCCATACAAAATAATCGCCTTCATTTGTGGCACACCAGTTATTTTGAATTAAAAAGTAAACTACTGGACCGATTTTGATGAAATTTCCATGGAACCAATCTGTAAGTACATATATATTTATAAGAAAAAAGAAGAATCTCCCAAAACAGTTTACAACTGTCGAAGTTTGTGGTAACAAACAAAAAAAAAATACAATCATAAAAAATAAAATAATTCAAAAAGAAAGAGGTACTCAATTGAGTACCTCTTTCTTTTTGAAGTTTGTTGAAAGTATAAAAAAATATTCTAGCCATGTACCCATGCAGAGCCGGGGCGGTTTACTAGTATATGATATTATATAAAGTTATCAGTGACTTGAACAATACGATGACGTTATTCCCTGACAATCTGCGTTGACGATTGTTGTCTCTCATTGTTTTTTCGTTCTTATGGCATAAGCAATAAAATACAATTCGGCACATTCGATTTAGCTGCCAGCTTTCTCAAGGTAGTTGCCATTCCTCTCGGCCACGTCGGATGACACACGACGACTGCATAATATGACTCAATAGATGTGCTGCGGTCTTGTGTGCGGCGATTAGCGAGTAGCGTAGCTTGAGCGATAGTGCAAGTAGCTAGAATTAAAATATTTCACAAGTGACAAGTGAAATATCATGTTTTTGTAGTGTAGTGTTAGTATTGCAGGCATCCATAGGCTACAATGGTCGTTTACCATGTTACATATAGGCTGTATGTTTGTTTGCCACCATTGTGATATAAAAAAAATATAATATGCAAAATTATACGTCACTCTAATTATATTGCTTCATATACACTATTAGAATTGTGCTGTTCCATAAAAAAAATTCAGACTTTAATTGTGAGAAAATCAGCGATTTTGATTTAAAAACTAAAGTAATGAAATTATTTTGATAATTTTTTTATGAGGTCAATCTACAAGTATACACTGTAATATGAAAAAGAATTTTCCAAAACGGTTTCCAACAGACGGAGTTATGAGGTAGAAAACCTAAAACTACAGTCAAATTGAAAGCGGCCTTCTTTTTGAAGTTATTTGAAAAGTGAGTTTGTTTGTTGCCATATAAGAAAGAAAGAAAGAAAGATAACGCCATGACGGCTTAACCAATCATTATGAAATTTGATACAGATAGATAGATATCAAATATCCTTTAATACGAACGGCAATAAAAATAATTACAGTTAAAATAAACATTACAATAAAAAAAAATTGCCTTAGTTGTTTCTATATATGCATACCTCCAGCGTTATTCACATATACAGTTGATTTTCAGGAGGCCCCTTTACTCATTTAACTTCAGCGTTTTTTTTTATACAACTTAGAATGGCAAACAAGCTGACGGCCCACCTGATGGAAAGTAGTAACCGTCGCCTATAGACATGAGCAGTACCATGGGCATAACAGAGTATGCTGTTTCGCCCATGATACCCCCCATGTGTGGTCATTTCTGCGGACTCAGATGTTATTCCTCTGTACCCAGTAAATTCAACGGTGACGAGAACGAAGTCACGTGTGAAAGCTAATATATTACAATACTATATATTATATGTATGGGTATAATGAACTTGTACTTATTCAGTTTATGGCAAACCGCTGCTACTGTGAACGCCGCTTTAGAATTATGCAAGGAGTTATTAACATTGGCGTTCAATGCGGATTCTTTTTTTGCATTATTTAAAATATTCATTTGAATAATATGAACGATCATGTTTTGTTTTTAATTAGGCTTCTCACACGTGAGAATATTTATTTTTGCCTGTAATGTAATGTACGAGATAATTATGTTATCATGTTTCTAAGGAGACTGTTTAAAATTAGTTAATAAAAACTTTAGGCGCCATCTGTTACAAACATTACTAATACTTCAGTGCGTCAAGCTTTAAGGTATTACGATAAATTTCACTTAGTTTTGTTTTTTTTTTTTTTTTGTTCAGTATATATTTTTTTTTTTTTTGATAAGGTTGTGGTAAGAAAGACATTGTTGTTATTCCCAAGGATGGTTGATGTCAGACAGGTAGCCGGTCGTATAACTGAAAGCCAATACCTTCAGAAATATGGGTAAAAATATATTGCTTCGACCACAAATTTTATATAATTAGGATGGATTAGAATAGCGTAGTAACGATACGAAGATGATGATGATGTTGTAAGAAAGGAATTACGTATGAATGTGGATAAGTGCAGAGGAAGATCCAGAAATAGATGGATGGACTGTGTGAAAGATGATATGGCCAGAAAGGGAGTGCCTAGTGAGATAACTCGCAAATAGAGATGAATGGAAGAAGAAAACATGCAATATTACGCGACCCAAAAAAGATATGAGAAAAGGGCAAGAAGGTTTTATTTAATTCTTTCTTCTTTAATTTTATTATCCCACTGTCGAGGCTATTTTTATCCCATTCACGATATTTTTTATGCAACTTAGAATGAAAAAGTAGCTGATGGTTATCAGTATACCTTACCCATTGCTAACAATATACCTTATCAGGTTGGGGGGAAAGGGATTGTTAGTAATGAGGGTCAAATAGCCCCATTGCTAGCCATATACCCTTCCAGGTCGACCTCCACGTGGTTCCCCCTGGAAACCATCGTGGCTAATTCTAGTTGAATGCGTCAGGATGAGCCAACTGACCTGCTTTTATCCTCATCAGTCATCTATCACTGGTGCCATGCCAGTGTATACCGATAGTACAGGCGGGGTTACCATACCCATTAGCACCCATTAAAAAAACCTTATCAGGTTAAACTCCACGCGGTTCCTCCTGTAAACCATCGTAGCCTGACTTCATCCTCACTTGTCATCCCTTACTGGTACCATGCCGGCCTATACTGATATCTCAGACGGGGTTATCATTCCATATTCACCCATTACAAAAATGAGGTTCCGGGTCACGCCACGGAGGTCATCATGTATAATATAATATCTTATAGCGTATTCTGTTTGTCGACAGGAACACCACCTCCAGAGGGCGATCTCAGGCACGGGGCTCATCATACCAACACCGGAGGTGTGCGAGGTCACCGACCTCCAGTTCTACGAGCGATGCTACCCGCCCGACTACAAAATGCCCAAGCAGCATATACACATGCAGCGTAAGTACTGACCTCTTTTATTTTGCCGTGTTACGTCTTTTAATATTCTGCTTGATAAGCGTTCTGAGTCGCCTAAATTCAAGATGTCATATATACTTTTTTATTTATATATTTATTCACTACAAGATATTATAACATTTTACATACGGAACTAACCATAAGCCTTAGCAACCCACTTGCTAAGCGTGGCAACTACTGGCAAAACTTTCCTTATGGAGAAGGCCTATGTTGAGCAGTGGACAGTTATACGGCTGATATAACAACCCATGCTCGTTTGCCCCCTGTGTTGTAAAACAAAATGCCATAATAATAAAGTGATTGAGGTACAAACTTTTAAATACAAAGAACGCTCTATATATGCAACCTATTTACTGGGTACGGAGGAATAACACCTGAATCCTCAGGAATGGCAACGCATGGGGGGGGGGGGTATCATGGGCAAACCAGTATACTCTGTTATGTCCATGGTACTGCTCATGTCTATAGGCGACGGTTACCACTTTCCATCAGGTGGGCCGTCAGCTTGATTGCCATTCTAAGTTGTATAAAAAAAAAGAAACCTCCCTATAAGCAACATTCTTTATATTTATTCTACTCAGCTTAGTTAATAAAAGAAATAAGTAAAAATATTTTCCAGACGGTAAGTATTTTTATACTCTTTTTTTCCCTATAAGCAACTTTTCCCAATATTTTTTGTTATTGAAATTTGTTCAAATTAGTTGCTTATATAGAGCATTCACTGTATATATAATTTTGACATTTATAATATTAATGGAATTATAGTTACTTACGAAACCATCCGTTTTAGTCCAGATTCGATTTTCCACTCGAGTCTCAAGTTGATTGCAACATTGTACCAACCAACCTATTCCACTATCTATCGTGCTGGCCCCATAGCGATTAGGTATTATCAGAATGACGTCACTGCTGCCCGTGACTTTAGAAGTGGCCAGTGTGACGCGGCACTCCACCTGCTAGTTGCAATTGTTGTTGATTTCACGCCATTATCCGTTTTCATATGTAAAACCAAGAATGTATCCAAGCGTATAAAATACTAAAAAAATATAAATCATATAAAGGCCCATCCGTCATCGTATCGTTTTGTTGAATATTCTATAACCTGCCTTAAGAAATGAGCTAACAATAAATATATAAATAAATATGTATTTTTTTTTAAATTGCAAAAGATACTTAATTATACAGTACTATCATACCTACTTGTACAACAATTAGTCCATTACCTTAAGGTTTTCTTGAAAAAATTGCTCTCAGCAATAAGACCGCCTCACTGTACTTATACAATTGTATCGTTGTGTTTGTAAATTGTCTTGCTTATTTCCTATATTGTATAATGCAAATGAAGTATACTCATTCATTCATTCATTTATTGGCAGGTAATAGGTCTGTTGGTATAACTGACAATCCCGGTCCCCTCATTCACAAAGGCTGGAATTTTTATTATTTCTTATTGTAAAATCTAAACCAGTGTTGCTTGTTGTACCATGTAAAATTGGGATGTATTCTTTAAGAAATGAACAAGGAAATAAAATGAATAAAAAAAAATCATGTCCGCCTGTACGATAATGGTCTTACCTTGACATAATTCAAACTCGATCAATAAACCAGTATTATATAGAGTGATTATTGTAAACCAATCTATTCATGGAAATTGCAAATGCTATCTGGCTCATGCATAGATAGAACAAAGCAATCGATCTTTATTGGAGCAGGGGAAGGACTATTAAACTGTACCAGTAGTACCTATACAAAGTGTAATCAAATTCTTTTAAGTTAGTTTTCAACGAGGAAAAGAAGATTTTTCAAATACAAGAAGAATGACGACGCATTTTTTGTCGTTTTTCGACCTATGTTTCTTTAGTGTAAATGTCCAGTAAAAATATAAGTCCTACCCCATTGCATATAGTACGTGTGTACCAAATTTCATAGTGATCGGTTAAGCGGTTGCGGTGCTGAAGTGACGAACGTACAGTCACTACACTATTACTATCACATATATGATATACTAGCGGCCCGATACGTGTTTCGCTACGTGTAAAGTGAAATAATAAAAAAAAAAAAAAAGTATATTAAAGTTTAAAAATATAAACACAAAGCAATAATTATCGCTGACAATTTGCTTTAATCGAAGCATGTTCAAAATGAAATGACCGCATGAATGACATAACAACATGCTTGTACTGTCAACACTGAAAAAAGTTTCAATTTGACAGCACAATCCCCATCTTAATAAAGTTTGAATTTGACACAAAAATCCCCATTAACAAAATGATCAGCCATTTATTGAATGCGTTTGTTACAAAAAATGTGATAAATGAAGAACCGCTCGACCGATTTTGTGCAAACTTCACATAAACCGTCTACTAAATAGTCCGAACAAAGCGTAAACATTTGGTTTGGATAGGTGAGCCCGTTCTTGAGTTATAAAATTGCAACGAAAAGTGGCATTAATTTTTGTATATATAGATTAGCAAGAATAAGGCTTTATTTATTGGTATGCCAATTATTTATTGTTCTACAAAAAAAATTACTTCAATTGTGACTGGTATTGCCAGTATTTTGATTTAAAAACTAAAACACTGAACCGATTCTGATAAACTTTTTTTGGACCAATCTGTATGTCTTTTCAGATAAAAAGAGAATTTTCCAAAACGGATTTATAACTGACGGAGTTATGATGTCATTCTTTTTGAAGTCAGTCAAGGAAGGAGACTTTGTACAAAAGTCGTTTGCTTGGGCACCTCTTTCCCATTCGTGTTTCTATCGTGAAGCAGTTGTTTGCATGGCTGTGTTTCGATTTGAAGGGTGGGATATGGTAGTGAATTTACAGGGTACAGAGGAATAACACATGAGTCCTTAGGAATGGCAACGTATTTGGGGGTATCATGGGCGAAACAGTATACTCTGTTATATCAATGGTACTGCTCATATCTATAGATGACGGTTACCACTTTCCATCAGGTGGGCCGTCAGCTTGTTTGCCATTCTAAATTGTATAAAAAATAAAGTTGATAAATAATTTTGTACGCATATATTTGTGAGTGAGTATCATTTGTATCTTCATGGCAACATCAACTAAACGGCTGGATGTTTTGACAAATGATGTAGATACCATACTTAACATTTTTTCGTTTCGTTTCACGATAAGTAATAAGTGCTCTCGGAAAACATAGGCGACTTCAACCGTAAACACAGATACACGTAGCGTACTAATAAATGACGAGATGTTTCTTTTTTTTTATTTTTTTTTATTTTTATTGACACATAAAACAGATTACAACCATAAGAAACTTAAGTAATAATTACATTTGTGATTCGGCTAGGTTATATAATCCAATCACATTATGTGCACAGCTTGAGTAATTCATTAAAAGCAAACACATAATATAAAAAGAAATAATTAAAATGTTATATAAATATATAAAAGATAAAACTATATAAAAAAAAAAACATATTTTCAATCGTGTTCTACAAAATAGAAAACAAGTTCTTCCTAAATATCAAATATTTTGATGTTTCATACATTCTCTTCATCTTACTATTGTCTTACTAATATGATGAAATTGTAACTAGACGATTTCTGAACGACTAGGTGATATTTAAGCAAAAATGATGTGAGACGTTTTAATAAGACCTATAGACGTCAAAACATTTTTTCTTTTATTTTTTTTTATCTGCATCTTTGTTCCGGCATCACGCAACTACACTAAATTGGATGCAGTTTTCACAATTGTATCGCTGAAGGTTTAATTTAGAAACTGGTATTATGTTTTATTTTGATTGAACACCATCAAACAGTGGTCTAGTTTATTCGTTTACCTATCTTTCGAAATATACTCGTATGAAGTAGCGAGCAAAGAGCTAGTTACAAATATTTAAACTTATTGTTAATTTCCTTATAATTTAATGAAATTCTTAACAAACTGGTATATTTATATAAGACATATATTTATATAATTATATATTTAAACAAAATTTAGTTAATTTTGTTTTAGTTGTGCTATTACTGTCTTATGCTCTATAAGACATGATATATAATAATATACATACATACATACATATCTGTCACGCATGTCTCCCATTAGGGTAGGCAGAAACAATGGAACGCCAAATGCTTCGATTCAAACAAACCTCTTTCGCTTCTTCCACATTCATCAATCTTTTCATACACGATGCTTTTCATCTTTTCTTTTTATCATTTCATATAATAATATCTCTCTGCATAATACTGTCGTATAGCACAAATAAAAAAAAGTAACCAAGTTTTATTTAAATAATTACAGACACACCCTCTAAATTAAATTATATACACTTACAGAGTGTGTTTATGATGACTATATCGATTAATCGACATGACATTACATCGATTAATCGGACATGAACGGACTGTCTTGTGGGTCCGGTACACTTACGTGTTATTTAACATTTTCATTAAATTCCATCGAAACAAACTACATCGTGTTGGTTTCCACTACTTCTCGTAACAGAACCTGCACTACTTTTTACCGCAGCTATACAATAGAACAAGGAAGTTTTAGCTCCCCCGCGGGAGTTCCCGTAGACCGGTAGTAAAATCGAAACTTGTTAAACTTCCCAAGGGAATCGCGATGGCGGAGAGTCTACTATTTCAAAATTGTTTGCATAAAATTCGCGCCGACCTACTACAAGTCTACTCGTAATTTGTATTGTTTGAGGCAATAGGATTGGTGTGTCTTTTGTAGACAAACTTTTTTTTATGGAATTTAGAATTGCAAACAAGCTGACGGTCCACTTGGGGAAAAGTGGTAACTGTCGCCTACAGGCATGAACAGTACTGTACATGACAAGGTCTAGTGTATCGCCCGTGATACCCTTGCTCCATTACCATTCCTGAGGACTAAGGTGTTATGATTCTATACACTGTAATTTCATTGCCATATATCATGTGTTTCGGTTTGAAGGGTGGGATATGGCGTGAATGTACAGGGTACAGAGGAATAGCA